CTCAAACACACACACACACACACACAAACGCACACATGGTCAACTACACATCCATGCATACACAAACAAACATACACACTCATCCCTAAACACACATATACGCTCAAACACAGGCACACACACACACACACACACATACATACATACACGTACACTAACACACATATGCATACTGATACTCACAGTTTTACACACAGACGGAAACGCGCTAACACATTCGCACATACACACACACACATTTAATCAAATGTGAGCACACGCACACAAACACACACATGGTCATCCATGCATATACATACAAACACACACTCATGCCCAGACACATATACACTCAAACAACAAACACACACAAACACACACACACACACACACACATATACACTCTAACAACAAACACACACACACACACACAACACTCACATGGTCAAGTACACATCCATGCATACACAAACAAACACACACACATACCCAGACACATATACACTCAAACACACACACACACACACACACACACACACACACACACACACACACACATACATGTAAGCTAACGCACATACACATACTTGCACACATATACGCACACACTGACACACTCTTTCACATTCAAGCATACACACACACGTATTCAGTCACATCGGCACATACACACACATTTAATCAAATGCGCGCACACACACACACACATTGGCACATACACACACATTCAATCAAATGCGCGCACACACACACACACACACACACACACACACACACACACACACACACACACACACACATGGTCAACTACACATCGATGCAACCACAAACAAACATACACACTCATGTCCAGACACACAAATACACTCAAACACAGGCACACACACAAATACACACACATACACGTATGCTAACGCACATACACATAATTGCACACAAATACACACAGACTGACACACTCTTTCACATTCACGCATACACACACAAGCTATCAGTCACATCTAGGTGTGCTGTGTGTACTGTAAGCTTTCACACGTGCGCACACACACTCAAAAATGCACAAACACTCGTTTTTAACAATGACCTCTTGAAATGCACAGCAAAGTTTGCAAACATGCCAATGTTGATAATATTGGAAATACAAAGCCACAAACACACACACACACACACACACACACACACGTACACACACACATAAGCGCGCACACACAGCACTTCTCATGTAGAAGCAAACAGGCTGTGTTACGAGTCTCGTAAAGTTTCTCTCTTCACTAATTTCTCCTTTTCAACCCTCATTAAAGAGCAGAATGTGCTGCTGCTGCTCTCCACGTGCTGCCAAACACAACCGTGTGCAGCGCTTTCTTGCGCAAACAGCGTACAGTACACACATATATCTGGATCTATCACTGCAGTTATGATTTCAACCACTTTAGAATAATAATTAACAGTCATGGGTTGGAGGGCGAAGCAGTGGCACTGTAGGTAGTGCGTAAAAACTTGCTGGATAAGTTGGTGGTTCATTCCGCTGTGGCGTCCCCGGATTAATAAAGGGACTAAGCTGACAGGAAAATGAATGAATGAATGAATGAATGAGTCATGGGTGGGAGGGCGAAGCAGTGGCACAGTAGGTAGTGCGTAAAAACTTGCTGGATAAGTTGGCGGTTCATTCCGCTGTGGCGACCCCGGATTAATAAAGGGACTAAGCTGAAAAGAAAATGAATGAATGAATGAATGAGTCATGGGTGGGAGGGCGAAGCAGTGGCACAGTAGGTAGTGCATAAAAACTTGCTGGATAAGTTGGCGGTTCATTCCGCTGTGGCGACCCCGGATTAATAAAGGGACTAAGCTGACAAGAAAATGAATGAATGAATGAATGAATGAATGAGTTATGGGTTGGAGGGCGAAGCAGTGGCACAGTAGGTAGAGCGTAAAAACTTGCTGGATAAGTTGGCGGTTCATTCCGCTGTGGCGTCCCCGGATTAATAAAGGGACTAAGCTGACAAGAAAATGAATGAATGAATGAATGAATAAATGAATGAGTCATGGGTGGGAGGGCGAAGCAGTAGCACAGTAGGTAGGGCTGTTGCCTCACAGCAATAAGGTCGCTGGGTCGCTGGTTCGATCCTCGGCACAGTCGGTGTTTCTGTGTGGAGTTTGCATGTTCTCCCTGCGTTCGCGTGGGTTTCCTCCGGGTGCTCTGGTTTCCCCCACAGTCCAAAGACATGCAGTACAGGTGAATTGGGTAGGCTAAATTGTCTGTAGTGTATGAGTGCGTGTGAATGAGTGTTTCCCAGAGATGGGTTGCGGCTGGAAGGGCATCCGCTGCATGAAAAGTTGCTGGGTAAGTCGGCGGTTCATTCTGCTGTGGCGACCACAATAATAGGACAAAGCTGACAAGAAAATGAATTAATGAATGAGTCATGGGTGGCACGGGGGCGTAGTGGGTAGCGCTGTCGCCTCAGAGCAACAAGGTCACTGGTTCGAGTTTCAGCTAGGCCAAAATAAGCATAAGTAATAACCATAAGGTGAATTATTTGGTAGGTGTATCTTTTTTTGTGCTTTTATTCTTGCCATAATAAAATCAACCCCTGTCGCTTTAAAGAATATCTCAACGGCGAATGCATCAAGTATAAAAGCCTCGTCTGTTTCACGAGGTGCACGTGCAGTCAGTGGAGGTGCGTGACGCGGCAGCAGGCGAAAGTGTAAATCAGTCTTAAGGCTAAACAGTTTTCAGAACTTAGCGATATTTAGGCTTGCAACCTAATTAGGTACATTTTTGCCATCGTTTTAGCATCATTTTTACTTAATAGGCCTTAAAAAGGGGCCTTAAAATACTTAAAAGAGGACTTCAGGTGAAAAGAAAAGCAAATGTTCAGAAATATGCCTCCATTCACTCATTTTTTTCCTTGTCGTTACAGACTGGTGTTAATTAGTTGCCCTTGAATCCCCTGATTCTGTTGATTTTTCTCCGTTAAAAAAAAACCCCAATCAAAGTGGCAATCCTTCTAAAGATGCAATTAGTCCCTGACGAGCTAATTAAACTGCGACTGCATGTAGGTCAGTGTGGTCCTGGTGTGCAGATCCTCATCGTCATCATAACTCGCTAATCAGCCGCTCTCGTTTGATGGATGATTTATTAATGGTGGCACGGCGATGACCTTGACTAGAAATGGCTTCATAGATGATCATTAAAAAAAGATGAGGGGTTCCCGTCACTTTGGGGGCCGTTTTTCTACTCACCGTTTGAAGGTAAAAGTGCTGGAGAAAGCAGACATGCCTTTTAAAACTTGTGTATATAGAGGGTTTGCAAGTATATCAACATTTAGTCAGATACAGTTAAAGTCAGAATTATTAGCCCCCCTGTATATTTCTTTTTCAATTTCTGTTTAACGGAGATATTTTTTTAACATATTTCTAATCATAATAGTTTTAATAACTCATTTCTAATTACTGATTTCTTTTATCTTTGCCATGATGACAGCACATAATATTTGACTAAATATTTTTTCAAGATACTAGTATTCAGCTTAAAGTGACATTTAAAGGCTTCACTAGGTTAATTAGTCAGGTTAAGGTAATTAGGAACGTTCATCTATCCATCTGTCTAAAAAGTCCAAAAACTCCAAGTCTAACGTGTCCAACAAGTCCAAAACGTCCATCCATCCAAGAAGTTCAAAACATCCGTCTATGCAAAAATCCAACAAGTCCAAAACATCCATTCATCCATACATCAAGCTCAACAAGTCCATCCATCCAACCAGTCCAACATGTTCAAAACGTCCATCCATCCAAAAATTCCAAAAAGTCCAACAAGTCCATCCATCCAAAAATTCCAAGTCCAAAACGCTCATCCATCCAACATGTCCAAAACATCCATCCATCCATCCATCCATCCATCCATCCATCCATCCATCCAAAAAGTCCAACAAGTCCAAAAAGTCCAAACGTCCATCTATCAAAAATTCCAAAAAGTCCAACAAGTCCATAAAACCCGTCCATCCATCCATCCATCCATCCATCCATCCATCCATCCATCCATCCATCCATCCATCCATCCATCCATCCATCCATCCATCCATCCATCCAAAAAGTCCAACAAGTCCAAACGTCCATCTATCAAAAAGTCCAACAAGTCAATCTATCCAAAAAGTCCAACAAGTCCAAAAAACCCGTCCATCCATCCATCCATCCATCCATCCATCCATCCATCCAAAAAGTCCAAACGTCCATCTATCAAAAATTCCAAAAAGTCTAACAAGTCCAAAAAACCCGTCCATCCATCCATCCATCCATCCAAAAAGTCCAACAAGTCCATCCATCCAACAAGTTCAAACAAGTCTAAAACATCCATCTATCCAAAAAGTCCAACTAGTCCATCTATTCTAAAAGTCCAACAGGTCCAAAACGTTCATCCATCCAAAAAGTCCAAAAATCCAAAAAGTCTGAGTCCAATTAGTCCAGAAACTCCATCCATCCAACAAGTCCAGCAATTACTAAAATGTCCATCCATTCAACAATTCCAACAAGTCCAAAACGTCCATCCATCCAACAAGTCTATCAGGTACCAAAACGTCCACCCATCCAACAAGTCCAACAAGTCCAAAAGGTCCAACAATTCTAAGATGTTCATCCATCCAAAAAGTCCAAAAATCCAAAACGTTCAAAAAGTCCAACTAGTCCAACAAGTCCAAAACGATCATCCAACAAGCCCATCAAGTCCAAAACGTCCGTCCATCCAACATGTCCAAAAAGTTCAAAAAGTCCAACAAGAACAAGTCCAAAACATCCATCCATCCAACAAGTCCAAAAAGTCCCATAAGTCCAAAAATAGCAGCATTTAATGTTAAAATATCTATTTTTATTACTTTGTAAACGCTTTACATCACTTTGTTCAGTCAAATGCTTCCTGCCGGTTAAAAGTGTTAATTTCTTCCTAATTCAAATGTTTAAAGTTTGAAGTGTGTGTGATATATTATTTATTTATTTCATTGTTCTTTATTTGTTTGATTGTTCTCTTCTAGTGGCTTATCTTGGAGACATTGCGCTGGATGAGGAAGATATGCGCATGTTTACAGTCGACCGCATTGTGAATTTAGCCGACAGAACGGTCACAATTCTGAACCACACCAACACGGGTAAGTGTGTGTGCGTATATTTTTGTGTCTTGCGCGTGAGCGTGTGTGTGTGTGTTTGCATGTATAGGCCTGGTTTATATAAACTTCGTGTCGGGCTTAATTGGCACGCAGAGACTCAGGAAGAGAAGTTGAAGCCATGCGTTGTTAAACCAACAGAGAAAAGCCTGTCAAGAAAACAGTTCCCACATTCCCAAACACAGCGGCCGACTGGGATCTCGCAAAAAGACAGCAATTTTTCCTCATAATTAGCCTCCGGTTTTATGATATTTTTCTCCCCAGAAGAATGGAAAGTTTGCAGAGGAGGGAAAAAAGCCAGAGATGATGAGGAAAGGGAACAAGGGACAGAATTCAGCTTCAGATCAGACAAGTCTGTTTAGCTCTGTATATCAGTGTGTGTGTGTGTGTGTGTGTGTGTGTGTGTGTGTGTGTGTGTGTGTGTGTGTGTGTGTGTGTGTGTATGTGTGTGTGTGTGTGTGTGTGTGTGTGTGTGTGAGTGTGTTGGAGTTGGCATTCAAAGTTCAACATATGAATTAGGGGTGTGCATCTATGATAATATTGTAATTGTTTATTTAACGATGTGAGCTAACGTTATCAACTCACTTAAAAAAAAAACATTAACCACAAATTAGCAAATGACAAGCCCCTCTTTTCTTATTGGTGTGTGCAAGAAGAACGTGTTTCTTGCACGTGTTCAAAACATACCCTAATAGGGTGGGTGTTCACACCAGGCGCATAATGCGCGAATAAATCACGCAAAATAGACACATTAACATTTTGAGTTTACTCACTTAATTAGTGTATGAAATTCACAATAGACACGCATGTGCGTCATGGGCGGGGCTTTTGTCTGCCTGGCGACTCTAGCTTCATTGCTAAAAGGCTAACATGGACTTTATCGAAAGAGTAGCTATGCTTTGTGTGCATGGCTGAAACACCTGATTGGCTGACGCTTCCGTCGGCGCTTGAAAAGTTGAGAAAGTCCCAACTTCTGCAGCTTGCAACGCCACTGAAGTGGCACCGATGGAACCACAATGTAGTTCAGCAACGCCTGACGTCACCCATTCAAAGTGAATAGGAACCATCGAGGCTGAGGGCCCATGTGAATGGGGCGTTAGGAAGGCTGAAAAACAGTGTAGATTCGTTCGACGCCGTGTCTGAATCCACTAGATCCTTTTGGAGGTGCATCATGCTCTGTGAGTTCATCAACTCCTCCAGAAACTGTACCTGGATGATAGAAGCTTTGAAGGGTGCTGAGCCGAGCCCAGTTTGATGAGCTGTTGTCAGGTGTCGGCGCTATGTCATAATCATGCCCAAACTAGAGCAAGCTATTGATCGGTTGATGCAGCACGAATGCCCGATAAAGTTTAGGTTTTCCAACTCGAGCATTTCACGCGATTTGTACATTAAGCATGTCAAACGTGCAAAAACGCTCAATTTGCGCAGCTAAATTCACGCAAATCGCACCACCTCATTCGCGCGAATAGTGCAGCAGGATGACTATTCACGTCTTTGCATTGCCTTAACATGTAAATCACTCGTGTTTGACGCTTCATCCACTCCTAGTGTGAACGCACCATTAGTAATGTTTTACAGATTCACAAAAATGTAGACTGCGTCATCTGAAACGTGCAACTAAACGTACTCTGACCAACTGAAACTCAAGTGATTACGTCCTGTTTGAAAAAAAAAACACACTTCAAAGCACTAGACCTTTTTCGAAGAACTTTCGCTGTATCTGGCCTTTTTTGAAACACCACACTGATTTTAAATTAATCGTAAAATGGAGATGTTGTTATGAAACACGCAACGACACATACTGCGAGCAACTAAACTCATGTTTTAGCTGAGATTACATCTTGCTTGGGAAAAAAAACGCACATTTCAAAGCACTAGACCTTAAAGGAAGAACTTTCGCATCAACGGGCCTTTTTTGAAACACCACATTGATTTAAGTGAAGTTAATTTATAAACAAATTTTGAGAGGATCACATGCTTATGATTGCTTGCAGCTGGTCCCACATTGTCCAATTTATGATTCACCAATCAGACGATTCCTAAGCCACTATAAATACCCTAAGTTCCATATAACAGCCATCGTCATTTTGAAGAATCCCCCATTCCACCCCTACTCCTCCTCCTTTTTTTAGATGGGTGGCACGGTGGCCCAGTGGTTAGCACTGTTGCCTCATTGCAAGAACGTCACTGGTTCTAGTCCTTACCAAGCCAGTTGACATTTCTGTGCAGAGTTTACACGTTCTCCCCCATGCTCACATGGGTTTTTCACCGGGTTCCCCGGTTTCCTCCCACCGTCCAAAAACATGCAACTTAAGTTAATTGACTAATCCAAATCGGCACCATAGACATGCTAGAAGGTGCAATCACTTTCTGTTCATTATCTACTACAGCAGGGGAGTTCTCGAGATCTACCTGGGCTCAAACTCCCCTCTCGCCTTGCAAACAGGAGGGAGCCCCGGGCTCGAGGATCTTATGAGCTCAGGGCTCTCTCCTGGGACAGCATACCAAACAAGCTTTATAATCAGTCATCAGCTAAGTGTGAACTCTTGAAATGTAATTGTAAAATAGAGAAGTTTGAATGTAAGCTGAAGTTTGAATGTTTTACTGAAACCTGTGATGAGGATGTTTCAAACTAACGGTGTCATTATTAACCCCGGTAACTCAATGTAGGTTCACTGTCGAATGAGACGAGTGTAAACACTACAGCGTCCAGCAGGGGGTCCCATCGCAGGAGGAGGGCGGCGACGTCCAGACCTGAGAGAGTGTGGCCTGAAGGCGTCATTCCTTATGTTATCAGCGGGAACTTCAGCGGTAAGACATACACACACGTTGAGTCTTAAAACCTTAAAGGGCACATCGTTTACCCCTTTTTTTAAATTTAATATTAATATTATGGTTGTTCTGAGTGTGCCAGTTTAGGTCCAGTTCAAAACACAGTTCAGATTTTTTTATTATAATGTGTTAAAAAGTGTCATGTTGGTGGCGTGTACACAGCTCACTGTTTTAGGGGCGTGTTGCTTCACATGAAAATTAGTTTCAAATTCCCGCCCAACGTAACAAAGTGGCGGAGCCAAGAGCTCCTCCGCTCTGTGTTTGGCAACAGACAGGCAGACAGAGAGAAGCAGCATGAGTAAGAGGATCAGCATTCAGCCGTACATGTACGACTCGGACACAGACCAAGCAGAGAGTACACAATCATTTGTGTCTTTGTATAGTTTTACAGCAACTGTGTGCTAGTTTAAAGTGCCGAGCTTGTACACCGAGACTAATAACCACACACACAAACACACACTGAATTAATTAATGTGTAACTTTTTTTCCTCTTTTCACACTTCCACTGTCACACTGCTCACTTCTAGTCCCTGTCTCCATGTGTGTGTGTGTTTTGTGTGTGTGTGTGTGTTGTACAGGTAGCCAGAGAGCCATATTCAGACAGGCCATGAGGCACTGGGAGAAACACACATGTGTGACGTTCATTGAGAGAACGACAGAAGAAAGCTACATCGTCTTCACCTACCGGCCGTGTGGGTGAGTGTTTGTGTCCTGTTAAAGGGCCATGAAATGGATTCACACCTCTACTTTGGAAAAAGTCCGAAAAGTGGGCGCGTCCAGCTCTGTTTAGGGGGGAGTGTCGGAGGAACAAACGAGGGATGGTGTGGGAGTGTCTATTTGGGCGCACTGAGTTTCAGAGTCAAAACACACACACACACAGGGGAGAAAGTGACTGTTTACATGGACATCTGTAGTCGAATTATTTGCCAAATTATTAAATGGTGGACTTTAACTGCAGTTTGGCTCTTTCATTCAGGGAATTCATTCAAGCCCCTCGCGACAAACAAGATATTTGATTCGAGGAACTGCTCTAAGCGTGTATTTTTCATGCAATGTTTGATACCGCACGGCGAATGAGAGAAAAAAACCTCAGCATTTCTCTTGGATGCACTCGGCAGGTAGCGTCAGAAAGCCGCATGTGTTATTCCAACACAATCTCACGGCAATTCGTAACTTTTTCATTTATTGGCTAATTCGTATGAATTCGTATGATCTAATTCGTACAATTTAGTACGATTTGCTTATCCCCCAATGACGGATGGGGTTAGGGGTGGGGTCAGGCGCCTCCTTTTTAAAATCGTACCATTTCGTACGACTGAACTCGTACGAATTCATACGAATTAGCCACTAAACTGGCAAAACGTAAAATACTTACATTTTCTCGTGAGATCAGGCTGGTTATTCCGGTCACAAAATGCGGTGAAAATCCTTCACGAGGTTAAAGTTTGGTTGTGGTGCTAACATGTTTACACTCAGTGCAATAGTTTGTTCGATACGAACAAACTGAAAAAACAAAGAGCACTGGTCGCTCACTTACCAAATCTGTAGAGACAGGATAATCACCAGCAACTAGAGCCGCGTCTTTATTAAGAGGAGACTACAAGCGAATCCGGATCTCAGCGTTTGCTGATGAGAACAGCTCTCAGGTAAACCATGTTCCTCCTTAGACACTTAAGTTGTTGTTGTCGAGTGTCGCGTACACTGTTAATTCATACGTGAGTCAAGCTGCGCTCTCACAGAGATAAAATGAAAACAAAACTTAACTGCAGCAAACTATAAAAGCAACACTTCACGCTTTTTTTGCCAACACAACGTGGCGTCTCTGCCGTCTAAACACTGTGACAGTAATGAATATTAATGAAGTTGCACAATAGAGCACGCTGATTGGTTTGAACCAAGCTTTACTCATGCATTAATGCAGCACACTCGGAGACATAATAAGGCCCACTCTGGCACAGACGTCCAGTCTGCACGCTGGAATACACGCTATTATCTCATGACCGTGACGCAGCTTCAAAAATTAGTTGCTTAAAAAAATGCAAAAACAACCAATTTACACTTTTTAGTGAAATATAGGTGTCCTAATAGTGTTTTTTGCAGTGTAGGACACATATACGACTGTCAACTGCTCAAAAAATGTGTTTTGGTGTTTCGTGACCCTTTAAGAGTTTCCTGTCAATAGCATTGTTTCCATTTAAAGATGCCAATAAGACTTGAGCAAAGCTGTATTAGGGAGTCAGCAGGATCTTAAAGTCTTAAAATCTCTCAAATCTAAAAAAAACTAAATTTTAGGCCTTAAAAAGTCTTAAATATAGTAAAATATTGTGTTGTAGGCCTTCAATCTTTTTTATTTTAACAGGTCTTAATTTTCCTTTGTTCAGGTATAGCTACCCAGGGTGTCGTAAAAAGCCTTAACGTCTTAAATCTCTAAAACTACATGTTAGGGCTTAAAAAGTCTTAAATGTACTGAAATATTGCGTTGTGATCTGTGAATATAGCCAGCTTCAAGTGGTAAAAGTTATTTCAGTACTTTTTTTAACAGTCACCCTTGGTTAAAACAGTCTGCAGAAACACTTTAGGTGCGTTCGAGTTCATGCAGCGCTGCGCAGATCGAAATCTGTCTTAAAGCGGTGCATGCTGGTTAGGAATCTAGTCCGGATTGATGCTGCGCCGACAACACGTGACTGTCACATGTGGCATAAAAGTACTGCGAAAACGCTCCGAGATCAGACGGCTGATTCAGCCAGTGCAGCATCTGAAGAGCGGCTGCAGGAGCTCTGATGACGACGCCGATATTACACGATTGGCCGAGTTCACCACATGACAACAAACACGTGTATTTCGAGTTTATAATTGGACAAATTCCGATTCAAAAGTTTCAAAACAAACAATTCACTTTTCACACCCTTTCTATCCTGTACACATCTTGCTTATTAAAAGACTACAAATATTGGTAACACTTTACAATAAGGTTCATTAGTTAACGCATTTACTAACATGAACTAATCATAACCAACACATGTACAGCATTTGTTAATCATAATTGAACATTTACTCTAATGCATTATTAACATCCAAGTCCATGCTTGTTAACATTAGTTAATGCACCATGAGTTAACATGAACTAACAATGAACAACTGTATTTTCATTACTTAACGTTAACTAACATGAACAAATACAGTAGTAAATGTATTGTTCATTGTTTGTTCATGTTAGTAAATGCATTAATTAACATTAATTAATGAACCTTATTGTAAAGTGTGACCCAAATATTTTACTGCAGTATTCATCTTTTGTTAAATAATCTGGTCATAAAAGTTAGCTTGTTTGCGCAGGTTTATTTTCAACCTTTTTATACAGACTATTTACTGCATTCAGCTCAATGAACGATTTAAATGATGTATTTTAGTGAATAAGCTAAATATTAAGTAAAATAAGTCTTACAGACTTGAAACAAAATAATCATCATGGTTGATCCTGTCACCCTAAAGCTTTTTTAACAAATTAAGTTAAAGAACTATTTTATTAAATAATTATAAAATGATTTTATGATTATAATATAAGAATATATTTTATTTCCTGTCTCGCCGTTTATACCTGGTCTTTCTGGGAAACATCTGCTTAAAGTGTAGCTCACTTATTTGACCTTTTGTTCAATCTTTTTGGATTAAAGAGCTTTTTTGAAAATGCTTTCATTATCCAGAATAATCTTATTTATTAAGACTTAATCAAAACACCTTGTTTTGCGCTTTACATTGGAAAAATGTATATCTATAAATGTACATAAATGTAAACCCCTTTTTAGCATATTCAAACAAGAAGTATTAGCCTAAAGTGATGTTTAAACTCCTAGAGTTGTGCTTATTGCTTTGTATTTAATAGACCTGTTCATTTGTATTTTGTATGTTTATATTACCCTCTCATTTCCTCTTATTTCTCTCATGCATTTGTTATATGTTATTCATAATTCTCCTTTATTGTTTAAAATTGTACGAACTATAGTTTGTAGAGACCAATGACTGTAAAAAATATGGACGACGCGACAGCCCCTTTTCCCATTGAACGCCTTGAGGGCAAAACGCCTGCTTGACGGGCACAAACTGTCGCAAAAGACTGCTGAAATTGGAGCCTTGACATGCGCAGAAGGATTGTCTGATGGAGCCAGAGGAGGAGCCGCGAAAATGAGCAGAGTCGAGCTTCCAACCAAACGCTTTATGTAAAATCAATCACGCCCCCCGAACTTCTCAGCATGCGTTTGCTTTCATATCAACACAAATGAATGTAATAACGTTAACAAATATGAGGGTTTTATATATTCAATCGCGCCAGCTCCAGGCCGCAGCGCATAACCTACTCGCAGCGTCGTGGGCTGATTCCGGCTCGCATGCGGCAGCGCCGGCTCGCTCAGCCGCCGCATCTGGCTCGATTGACTCGGGCTGGAATCGGACAGTGAGTCCAGGCATCCGGAGTAGATCCAGCAGATCAGTCAGTCTGAGCTCTGAGGGGTAAGTCTCCGGCAGGCGAGAATCTAGCCCGAACTGGCCCGAGTTTATTTTGCTATCTGGGTGGTTAGGCGTGTATCAGCAAACTAATAAAACCCGAAAAAAGCCCTGACCTTAGCGAATAAACAGTGCTCCACCAGGATCATGTATGTCAGAAACTATAGTTTACTGCTGAACTCATTTTATCATGGTAAAATAACACAGAAATCGAATAATAACACTTCAGTCTCCTGCCGAAGCTCAGACGCACTGCTTTGAGAAACTGTCAATCACAGCTGTCAATCACGATGACACACCCAGCATTAAATTACTGCTAAAAACAAACAAAAATGAAGATCTGCACCTATTTCAGCACAATAACCAGTGCCTTATTCGACCAGAACCATCTTTCGGGACATTTTATTGCAAGTGTAATAATTTTTGTTATTTGGGCTCAAGTCTCCTTCATTAACACGGAGGAGGCGGGCTTTATGACTTGTACTGCAGCCAGCCCCCAGGGGGCGATCTAACGGCCGAGACCTTCACTCAAACGCAGGCTTGCGGCACACTTGGTAGAGACTGTATTCTGTTTTATTTGAAAATGTTTTGTTGTTATAAATACAAATAAATAAAAAATGATGATGAAGCCATGTGATCGGTCATCATGACTGCAGCCACTTTGAGCCCCGAAGTGTCCAGCTGTCCGGCTTGACGGCTCCGCTTTCAACTCCGCCCCCGCCTGCGCTCGGCTAATCTCATTGATCACTGACTGCAGCTGTGCTTCATGTCGAACGCACCTATCGATTGACGTTCTCCTGTTGTACGTGTCATCAGAGGAGGAAAGCCCCGCCCACTAGTGACCATCTCATTAGCATAGGACAGTTCTCTTGTGTTAAATCTGCCAATATTCTGACGCATAGGCATGTATAGCTCCGCCCTCTTTTAAAAAGAGCACCATCTCATTTGAATTTAAAGCGACAGTCACCAAAATGCCACAATTAAGATCAAAGCCTAAAAGGAGCAGTTTCAAAGAGTTATATAACCTTATTTGTGCGGTGTTTTGAGCTAAAACTTCACATACACACTCGGAGATGAATGAAAAAGGTGTATAACAGGTCCCCTTTCAGCATTTTTTTAGATAGAAACATGGCTAATGTGAGCGAGTTTCCACAGCAGGAGGATGAAACCTCTGCCTCGTCCAGGAAGGAATTAAACTCATGTGGAGCGCACGCTTTTCACTCTTTTCTTTTCGGCCTCTTCCTGATTTATCGCTCAAGTGGTTTTCCATCCTCTTCGTTCCTGCTTATCTGCTTTGTGTGCCAGCAGACAGACTTGTGTGTGTGTGTGTGTGTGTGTGGGAGTGCGTGGCGGAGGTCTGTGTCACTGTCACCTGAGCGTGTGTGTTTTTCACTCGCACAATGGCTCCCCGTGGATGTTTCAAGTTCAGAGCTCAGCTTGACGGTCACATCCGCTGGATGCTGGCGCGCTCGCTCTTAATCTGCTTCTGTCTTCTGGAAAACAGGATTTATTTTGCTCTTTTTAGATGCTTGTTTCGACTCAAAAGACCCCCACAAGACCACCCGGGTGATTCTGAAAAGTATAAGCTACGTTGAACAGCCTTAAAGGGTTAGTTCACCCCTCGAACTATTCATTGTGTCGTTATTTACTCGCCCTTGACTTTCTGTCTTCTGTTGAACCCAAATGAAGATATTTTGAAGAATGTTGTAAACCTGTAACCATTGACTTCCATAGTATTTGTTTAGAAGTCAGTGGTTACAGGTTTTCAGTGGAATATCTTCTTTTGTGTTCAGCAGAAGAAACTGTTTGAAACCACTTGAGGGAGAGTAAATAGTGAGGGATTGTTTATTTTAGGGTGGACCGCCCCTTTAAATGTCGCTTGAATGTGAAATTGTCATATGAAATATGGCTTTCCTCTCTGATGACACATACAAGTGGAGAATGTCGATCAAAGTGTGATTATCAGAACGAAATGAATACATCCCAAGCATTAGTAGCTGGTTATATTCACACACTCTTACCACTCAACTGTGTTTAAACCCCTTATGAAAGTGATTTTTACATAATAGGTCGCCTTTAAAACGATTTTGCCAATAATCAATAAACAATAGTTGGGGAAATTGTGACACAAAAAGTGACACAAATACACAACTGAGTCAAGAATGAGTAAAGTCCGTCACACTGACAGAGACAAATGTGACCTGCTGTTTGCTTTGTTGAAGCAGACGTGCCGTTGCGGTCGCCAGTGAGGGGAAACTGCTGGAAATATAGCAAATATAGCAGCTGTGCCAGCCATTCTGGACTCTGAGGAGGCACAGGGGGCCTTTATGTGCCACTGCAGGCGGAGCAATCACGCACGCACACACACACGCACGCACGCACACACGCATACATACATACATACATACATACATATATACGTACATACACACACACACACACACACACACACACACACACACACACACACACTGCTTTAATGAGCTCCTGTGTGTGTGTTTGTGTGTGTGTGCGTGCTTCTATGTGCGTGTGTGTATTTGGTGTATGATGCGTGTGTTTGCATATGTGTGTTGTGTGGGTGTGTGTTTGTATGTATGTATGCATGTATGTATGTTTGTGTACATGTCTGAATGTTTGTGAAATGTGTGTGTGTCTACATTTTTTGTTTGTCTCTGTGTGTAAGTTAGGGTCTGTTTGTGTGTGTGTGTGTGTGTGTGTGCTTGTGCTTGTGGGAGTAAGTGCTTCTGTGTGTGTGTGTGTGTGTGTGTGTGTGTGTCTCTCTCTCTGTGTGTGTGTGTGTGTGTGTGTGTGTGTGTGTGTGTGTGTGTGTGTGTGTGTGTGTGTGTGTGTGTGTGTGTGTGTGTGTGTGTGTGTGTGTGTGTGTGTGTGTGTGTGTGTGTGTGTGTGTGTGTGTGTCTGTCTCTGTTTGTGTGTGTGTGCGTGCTTGTGCTTGTGCTTGTGAGAGTAAGTGCTTCTGTGTGTGTTTGTGTGTGTGTGTGTGTCTGTGTCTGTGTCTGTGTCTGTCTCTCTGTTTGTGTGTGTGTGGGTGTGTGTGTGTGTTTATGTGCCTATGTGTGTATTGCATGTTTGTGTACATGTCTGTGTGTTTGAAATTGTGTGTGTGTTTTGTGTTTGTATGTATAAGTTAGGGTCTGTGTGTGTGTGTTTGTGTGTGCATGTGAAAGTGAGAATGTGTGCATGTGTGTTTGTATGCTTATTTGTGTGTTTCTGTCCCTTTAAGGTGTGTGTGTGTGTTTGTGTGCATATCTGTGCGTTTATCTGTTTATGTGTGTTTGTTTGTTTGTTTGCATATGTGTATTGTGTATGTTTGTGCATGTCTGTGTATGTGCAGCATGTGTGTGCATCTATGTGTTTGTATGCTTATCTGTGTGTTTGTCTGCCTTTGAGTGTAGTGTGTGTCTGTCTGTCTCTGAATGTGTGTTTGTGCTTTTGTATCTGAGCATATGGGTCTGTCTGTTCATTTGTGTGTGTGTGTGTGTGTGTGTGTGTGTGTGTGTGTGTTCAGTCCACTTCAAGTTCAAGGCAGAGATTCTGGATGGAGCCTCTGGTTGCTCTGTAATTAAAGACTGATCGTTTGCACCCACACAGACTGCACATGCGGGTTTGTGTGTGTGTGTGTGTTTGTGTGTGTGTGTGTGTGTGTGTGTGTCTCTGCAGTATTTCTTCTACATTTGACAGAAAGGGATTGTGGGATTGTGTGTTGTTGTGGCACCCCAGCTTCTCTGTGAGTTTTGCAACACGTAGCTCTGAGCAAACTTACAAAACAAACCGGGCATGACATTTGGTTCGAGTTGACTTTGTGCTCCGCTTCAGTCTGTAACTCCGCTAGCTCGCGTGTTGTGGAAAAGAGACCAGTTCTTGCAAAAACATGCCACGTGATGCAAGATAAGAGCAGTATTTCACTCGGGTAGAGAATTTAAAGCTTTTTTTGCAATGACTATTACAGGAAACTTTCATACATTGAACATCATTTATTTCATAATTAATATAATTTAGATTTATTTAAAGTAATATTTTTGTTAAGTGATATTTCCTTCTTGTTTGTTGAGTAATATTTCTTTTGGAAAAAAGTGAAGCGCTATGAATACTTTCCAGATGCACTATATTAAATTAAATTAAATTAAATTTAATTTAATTTAATTTAATTTAATTTAATTTAATTTAATTTAATTTAATTTAATTTAATTTAATTTAATTTAATTTAATTTAATTTAATTCAATTCAATTTAATTCAAATCAATTCAATTCAATTCAACTCTATTCTATTCTATTCTATTCAATTTTATTTTATTTTATTTTATTTTATTTTATTTTATTTTATTTAAAGGAAGAAAAATGCAATTAACGCATGGTGGCTTTTGGATCGTGAGGCGCTCTTTTTTTTTTGAAGGGGATAATACTGAACCACTTTGGACTTTGGCTGAGGGATTTTGGAATCAGGCTGTAACAAAGAAATGTGGAAAAAGTGAAGCGCTATGAATACTTTCCAGATGCACTATATTTAATTTAATTTAATTTAATTTAATTTAATTTAATTTAATTTAATTTAATTTAATTTAATTTAATTTAATTTAATTTTATTTTATTTTATTTTATTTAATTTTATTTTATTTTATTTTATTTTATTTAATTTTTCTTTATTTTATTTTATTTTATTTTATTTTATAATTAATTATTTTTTTTATTGTTTCAGTTTAATATTTTTTCATTTGAATATTTTTATTTTATTTTATTTAATGTTTTCAATTTAATTAATTTTAATGTACTCAATTTAATTTAATTAGTTTAATTTAATGTGTTCAATTAAATTTTATTATTTAGTTTTATTTATTCAGTTTAATTATATTATTTTGTATTATTTTATTTTATGTAACAAAATCGTTTTAGAGTTATGGTTTTAGTTTTTTTTTTCAAAAGAGACAAGTAAATTAAAGTATTAAATAAAGATTAAATATTAGTTGGACGATATTTACCCTGGTTGACCTAATTAATGAAAGTAGACTAATAAACAGTATTTTTTAATGTTATAAATATTCTGTCATCAATGAAATAATGAATTTTGCACTTGATTGTGTTCTTTGCATATTAACTGTAGTGTTTATTGCGCTGTCCTCAGGTGCTGTTCATACGTGGGCCGCAGAGGAGGGGGTCCGCAGGCCATATCCATCGGGAAAAACTGCGATAAGTTTGGAATTGTGGTGCATGAGCTCGGACACGTGATCGGATTCTGGCATGAGCACACGCGACCCGACAGAGACGAACACGTCAGTATCATACGAGACAACATTCAGCCAGGTAGGAGAAAAAAACTGTAGGGAAAGATCACATGATCTGTGCTCAACCCACATAATAAAACACTAAAGTGTTTATAGTAAATACTCACATTTTACAGCGGTGAAAGTCCTTTTAAAGTCCACATGAACCAGAAGCTGCAACCACTGTGATCATACCAGTCAACATTCGGATCATAAAATCCGGGAGGTTTTCTCTGGGGGTGCGCGCAAAGTGAAGAGCGGGGACGGCCTGGGGGGCGGTGGTGGGTGGTTGGTGCGCACAAACTGAGGAGCGAGGGGAAAGGTGCACGCGAAGTGAAGTGCGGGCAGCGGGTATGAAGATAGTTGCACCTTGGGTTCGGTGCGCATGGGGACTGAACCAAAAAGCTAGCCGGACTGAACCAAAAAGCTTAGAAGGGGGGGTTGGGGAGATTTCCGAGAGATAGGTCTGAAATACGGGAGACTCCTGAGAAAAATGGGACTGTTGGCAGGTAAGATTGTGATGCACTTCATAGAGTAATGGAATATTAAATGAGAATACAGTGGGCGTGGCTTATTTTTTCTACTGCGAGCTGATTGGGTGTAGTTAAGTTGGCATTTCATTCAAAAAGATCTGGGGAGAGTTATTACAGCCTTACAGACTCCTCCTGCTCACCATTTCTGTTTGTTGTCAAAACTGACAGCTGGAGGGGCGCGGTTAAGTATGTTAGCCACGCCCAATACCTTAGACTGACCTAATCTGAGAATTGAACTGAAAACAAACAGCTAGCGCATTTTCAGATTTCAATTAAAGATTACAAGGGCAAACTATTGTTTTTTTTTTCTTAACGACACGCACAGATTGTTCACCACAAAACTAGCAATGTGAGCTAACAAAATCAACATGGTTCGTTTTGATTTCATGTGTACTTTAAGGGAACTTTAATACATTGCTGGGTTGTTTAAATTACTGTAGCAACTATAGAATTACCAAAAACAGATTCATTCAAGTACTTTACTGTAGTATGGTTTAAAAGCTCTACAGCAGTGGTTCTCAAACTGTGGTACGTGTACCAATAGTGGTACGCAGGCTTCCTTCTAGTGGTACGCGGAGGAATGAAATATGTCATGTACATGCTACACACATTTCAAAATTTATCAAAAATTATGATTTTAATATGTCATAAATGACATATAGCCTATATTTCTGATGTAATCTGCCACGTTTTTTAATTGTGTAGAGTTGTAGCTGCTTTACTGGGCGTACTGCGCTACTGTACTTCAATACTTCTCATTTTGGTGGTACTTGGAGAGACAATTTTTTTCTGAGGTGGTACTTGGTGAAAAACGTTTGAGAACCACTGCTCTACAGTATTAACGATAAAAAAAATAAAAATAAAAAAACTCTATTTATCTGCAATTTGCCAACCTTTAACCTCCACAAACAGCTACATTACACAATATACATTAAAGTTAATATTAAAGCAAGCTCCTGAATCAGCTGAAGGGGTCATCACGTCCAGCCAACAAACATTTAGCCCTCTTGATAAGAACGGAGCACATAAGGGTCTTTGACCCAAGAGCTTGTGTTTTCCAAAAGCTCCAACTAAATTGTTTTTCGTGCTCATTATTGGACTTTGATCGATGTTTTTTGTTTTTAGTTTGAAGGACTTAATATGTAATCTAAGGACATCTCGCTGATATTGTACCTGCAGCTTTCAACATCAAAAAATACTCATTCATTCATTTTCTTTTCGGCTTAATCCCTTTATTAATCTGGGGTCACCACAATGGAACGAACCGCCAACTTATCCAGCATGTGTTTTTTATGCAACTCATGCCCTTCCAGCTGTAACCCATCTCTGGGAAACACCCGTACACTCTCATTCACACTCATACACTACGGACAATTTAGCCTACCTAATTCACCTGTACCGCATGTCTTTGGACTTTGGGGGAAACCGGAGCACCCAGAGGAAACCCACTCGAACGCAGGGAGAACATGCAAACTTCACATAGAAACGCCGTCTGACCCAGCCGAGGCTCGAACCAGCGACCTTCTTGCTGTGAAATAAATAAATAGTATATATAAAGAGTTCAGATGCAAAAGCCGCTAAACGCCACTTCCGGCAAAAATGAGCTAATGACATTGAGTAAATGCTTTAGCCACGTAGTGTCAACAAATAGATTTGCTTCTAATCATCTGAATCCCAGCGTTAGCGCATTCAGAAATAACAGTTTGTTTGCGAAACCCGCTAAACGCCTCTTGCTAAAAGCCGCTATATCCCAAGAACCAATCAGAAGGTGCGATTCGAAAATCCAAAAAGAAATTGTTAATACAATGAACAGAAATGGGGAGCAGGAGGTTGTAATCTGTTAAGGCCCGTGCACACAGAGACGTTTTTTTGCTCCTGTTTTCCGTCGACGTTTAACGCCTCGCGACTAAATTACGGGCGTCAATGTGATCATGCACACCAACGCACAAAACGGCAGGCGCAAAAGCTTCATTTAAAAAAAAAAAAACGCCTCATGCTCGTTTTTTTGTTTTGACGCGCCGCGTCAAAATCTTCTCCACCAATCAGATCGGCACTTTTGCTCATGTGCACGGAGCTGCTGAAGTTACAGTAAACAGCACTTGGAGGCGCTCAAGCGCAAAACTGTCAATGCGAGCGCACATTGAAGAAGATGCCGAGAGGCGATATGAACGTGCAGCTGCTTATTAATCTGTTGAACAATAATCATTTCTTCATCGCCAGAGCAAGAGCAGCTACTTGAATCATCCATGCTTGTTCGAGTCACCAGTAAGTTTACCAACAAGCGTGTGAACTTCCTCTCCTCCTCTTCTTCTGTGTTATAAGCGGGTGTCAGAAGCTTAAAGTTGCGTAGCGCCATCTAACGTCAAGGAGTGATTTTGCATACTCTTCCGCTTGACGCCAGTGAAAATCGCTTTGGTTTGAATACGGGAAAACGTCTCGTAAAATGCTGACGATAAACGCAAACGAAAAGCGTCCCGGTGTGTAGGAGCCTTTAGGTTGTAATAACTCTCCAACTCTTTTCCCGATCTTTCATAATAGAATGCCTACTTTACTACATCCAATCAACTCGCAGTAGAAAAAAACAAGCCACGCCCACTGTTTGCCCGTTTAACATTCTGTTTCTCTAGGAACTGCGTCACAATATGAAAAAACAAAAGAAACACTCAGCACATCACATCTTTGCCTCTATGCCTTTGAATAGGAGATATCAAATTCTCCAAAACTTCATATTGTTTATATTGGGAATCACCAATAGCAACAAGGGTGTGAGATATTTTAGACTTGTCCACTTTTGACATCTTCCAGAGGAAGTCAAAAATGCTTCAAAGGGATAGTTCACCCCAAAATGAAAATTGACTCACTGTTAACTTAGCCTCAAGTGGTTCCAAACCTTAATACCTTTCTTTCTTTCTGTTGAACACAAAGGGAGATATTTTGAAGAAAGCTGAAACCCAGTAACCATTGAGTTCCATTGTAGGAAGTCAATGGTTACAGGTTTCCAACATTTTACAAAATATCTTCTTTTGTGTTTAACAAGAAACCCATTACGGTTTGAAACCACCAATTGAGGGTTAGTTTATGTAATGAGTCAATATTCATTTTTGTGAGGTGAAACGTGAGTAAATAATGACCAAGTTTAAATTTGTGGGTGAACTATCCCTTTAAGTGGGAATTCATTCATTTTTCTTCAGCGTAGTCCCTTATTTATCAGGGTTCGCCACAGCGGAATGAACCGCCAACTATTCCAGCATATGTTTTACGCAGGGGATGCCCTTCCGGACACAACCCAGTACTGGAAAGCACCCATACACGCTCGCATTCGCACACACTCAAACACTCTGGCCGATTTAGTTTATTCAATTCACCTATCGCGCATGTGTTTGGACTGTGGGGGAAAACGGGGCACCCATGGAAACCCACACTAACACAGGGACACTAACATGCAAACTCCATACAGAAATGCCAACTGGCCCAGCTGGGACTCGAACCAGTGACCTTCATGCTGTGCTTACCACTGAGCCACCGTGCCGCCCTCAGCGGCCCCTATACTCCTGAAATAGCTCAAGTGTAGCATATTTTGACTGTGGAGCAGCTGCGCCCCGACTGATGTAAAGCCCTGCATTCTTCACACCTTTTAGGCAACATTAATGAACATGAAAGATAGCCTGAAATACTGGCTTATCTGTGGAAATGGATCTTATTATGTCCTCATAGGCTCTGACTAATCCTAATAAAAGCAGATCTGTGCATTTGCATGGAAGAAAGTGTCTGTGGCTTTAGCAGTTCACTCATGATGTAGCCTATAAAATATTGTATTTACGGTGCATCTGGAAAGTATTGATGGCGTTTCACTTTTTCCTTATTTTTTATGTTACAGCCTTTTTCCAGAATGCATTAAATTAGTTTATTTCCTCAACATTCTACACACAATCCCCCATGATGACAATCTGAAGAAAGAGTTTTTAAGATTGTTGCAAATTTATTGAAAATAAAAAAGCTGAAAAATCTCACGTACATCAGTGTTCACAGCCTTTGCTCAATACTTTGTTGATGCTCCTTTGGCAGCGATTACAGCTTCAAGTTTTCTAGAATATGATGCCACAAGCTTGGCACACCCGTCTTTAGGAATTTGTGCCCATTCCTCTTTGCAGCACCTCTTAATCTCTATCAGGTTGGATGGGAAGTGACGGTGTTCAGCCATTTTCAGATCTCTCCTGAAATGTTCAATAGGATTTAGGTCTGGGCTCTGGCTGGACCACTCAAGGATATTCACCCAGTTGTGTGAAGCCGCTCCATTGATATTTTAGGTCATTGTTCTGCTGGAAGATGAACCGTCGCCCCAGTCTGAGGTCAAGAGCACTCTGAAGCAGTTTTTCATTCAGGATGTCTCTGTACATCGCTGCATTCATCTTTCCTTCTATCGTGTAGTTACATTTTTTGAGAGGTGCGTGTCTGCGTCAGCCATGCAATACGCGTGCACTTTACTGAAATTTGCTGACGCAGTACAGTATGTCCTATTGCTGTGCAAAGCAGCCTGGAATACTAGGGAATCTTCCAAGTGCATACTAGACTCAGAGTTCTGTTATTTACTGAATGCTCTCGATATTGTTACGTCCCGACCAGTCCAGGGTTGGTGGGAACAATAACAAGTGTAAATAAACAAATAAATAAACTCAAGTACTCAATTTAGGGTTTTCCCCTTCTCCTGTCCCAACTCACAATGATCACAACGCTTATCAAGTAGTAACACGGTTTGTTGTTTTCTTAGACAACAAAGATAGAAGCATCTCTTCGGAAGGAAATCCAGGCCAAAATAATAAACAAAAAGACAGCTAACTTGCGGGGAAATAATTCTAACTTACCTGCTCAAATAAAAGTACCCCAAATAAAATTACAGCTAACTTCCCTCTCTCCCTCGCTGCCACAAACCAGAAGAAAACGTTTTAAAGGAAATGGCAATTCCCAACCTACCGGTTCTGTTTTTAACCTAAATATTATATATATATATATATATATATATATATATATATATATATATATATATATATATATATTTAATCAGTGAAAAGCAAACAGGCTCAGATTTAACAGCGAGCCGTTTAGAAAACAATTAAATTGTCAGTTAAAGAAATCCATCAATTAACACACCAAGTCAACCAACAATCTGGGGCAGGAGATAGGAGACGCTTGGAAGACAGCGGCGGCAACGACGACGGAGATTTGCGACCTGCACCGAGCAGAAACATCCCTACATTGTTCCTCTCCTCCAGCTTATATACGCTCCCACATGCAACACAGCTGGTCCACAATCAAGCGCAGCTCTAGAGGGAGGGAGAGAGAGAGAGAGAGGGAGAAAGCTGCGCATGCTCCACAGTGCGCAACACAACATCAGCTCCAAATGCATAAACAAAACACAAATCTGTTTATTTATAATATAATATTAATAATAATATTGTTAACGTAACAATATACATTTAGACAAGTTACTTCCAAAATTGTATACGTTATCGAGATGAAGTCAAAAATATTATCCAGCTTGTAATTTTCCCAAATGATGTTTAACAGAGCAAGGAATTTTTCGCAGTATTTCCTATAATATTTTTTCTTCTATTTTAAAAAAAAAAACATTTTAAGTTCAATATTATTAGCCCTCTTAAGCAATTTTTTCAGTCTGACTAAAAATGACTTGCCTAATTAACCTAGTTAAGCCTTTAAATGTCACTTTAAGCTGAATACTAGTATCTTGAAAAAATATCTACTCAAATATTATTTACTGTCATCATGGCAAAGATAAAATAAATCAGTTATCAGAAGTGAGTTATTAAAACTATTATGTTCAGGAATGTGTTGAAAGAAATCAAACAAATGCAGTGTAATAATGGCCAAACCATCAAATAATGATGAAAATATTGCCATAGCCTTCTGTCTCAGTCTTACTTTTGGTTTCTTCTCATAGGACAGGAGTACAACTTCCTGAAGATGGAGCCTGGAGAGGTGGACTCACTCGGAGAGGTTTACGACTTCGACAGCATCATGCACTACGCAAGAAACACCTTCTCCAGGTAAGATCCTGATCTCAGGAGGATTGAATTTATTTATCGCTTGGCTTTCTTCTTTGCAGCATCCTTAATCATATTAAATGCAACACATTCACAGCACATATACAGTTGAAGTCAGAATTATTACCCCTTCTGAATTATAACACCTCTGTTTATAAACGGCGAGAAGTTTACTGTAAACACATTTCTAAACATAATAGCTTTAATAACTCATTTCTAATAAGTGATTTCTTTAATCTTTGCCATGATGACAGCACATAATATTTGACTAGATGTTTTTCAAGATACTCAGCTTAAAGTGACATTAAAAGGCTTAACTAGGTTAATTAGGCAAGTTATTGTATAACAGTGGTTTGTTCTGTCGACAATCCAAAGAAATATTGCTTAAGGGGGCTAAAAATATTGACCTTAATATTTATTTATTTATTTATTTATTTATTTATTATTATTATTATTATTATTATTATTATTGTTATTATTATTATATATTTTTTATATATTTCCCAAATGATGTTTAACAGAGCAAGGAAATTTTCACAGTATGTCTAATAATATTTTTTCTTCTGGAGAAAGTCTTATTTGTTTTATTTCGGCTAGAATAAAAGCAGTTATTAACTTTTTTAAAACAATTTTAAGGTCAATATTGTTAGCCGCCCTAAGCAATATTGTTTTTTGATTGTCTATAGAACAAACCGTTGTTATACAATAACTTGCCTAATTAACCTAGTTACGCCTTTAATCGTCACTTTAAGCTGAATGCTATGTAATCTAATTCCCGCCTAAAGTGTTGTGGTCGCAGATCAAAAAATACAAGTGGCGATGGTGTGATATCAACTTTCTCTTCATCTGATTGGCTAGAGGAGCAATTGTCAATCTCGGCTAGTGGATCAATGATGATGCTGAAGCCCGCCTGTGATTTAAATAAAACTTGAATTGCATGTTTTGAAACGCAAGCGCAAAAGGTTGGAACAAATGCGAAGAGGAAAAACGTAAGCACAAATAATATTCATAAATAAGCAGTTAAACGGATTTTGTCTAAACGTGTTTTCATTTTTGATTTCGGTACGCGATTGTTTCTTATTCTGTGTTTAGTTGTCGCTTCTGCGCATTATAATTTTATACGCGATGTCAATTTTTCAATTTACGCGCATAATTTTTTTAATCTGTGACCACGATACATTTGGCGGCAAATCAAAAAAATATTTCCCGCCGAATGTATCGTGGTCAGGAATTGAAAATAATGTGTGTAAATAGAAACATTGACATAGCGTGTAAAATTATAATGCCCAAAAGTCTAGTAAGCACACAAAATATTCATATATAAGCGGTTGAACGGATTTTGCCTAAACGTGTTTTCATTTTTGATTTCGGTACGCGATTGTTTCTTATTCTGTTTAGTTTTTGCTTCTGCGCATTATAATTTTACACGCGATGTCAATTTTTCAATTTACGCGCATTATTTTTTCAATCTGTGACTGCAATACATTTAGCTGCAAATCAGAAAAATATTTCCCGCCAAATGTATCGTGGTTACGAATTGAAAAAATTGACATAGCGTGTAAAATTATAATGCCCAAAAGTCTAGTAAGCACACAAAATATTTATATATAAGCAGTTTAATGGATTTTGCCTTAACGTGGCTTCATTTTTGATTTCGGTACGCGATTGTTTCTTATTCTGTGTTTAGTTGTCGCTTCTGCGCATTATAATTTTATACGCGATGTCAATTTTTCAATTTACGCGCATTATTTTTTTGACCTGTGACCGCAATACATTTGGCGGCAAATCAAAACAAAATTTCCCGCCAAATGTATCGTGGTCACGAATTGAAAAATCTTGTGCGTTAATCAAAAAATTGACATAGCGTGTAAAATTATAATGCCCAAAAGTCTAGTAAGCACACAAAATATTCATATATAAGCGGTTGAACGGATTTTGCCTAAACGTGTTTTCATTTTTGATTTCGGTACGCGATTGTTTCTTATTCTGTTTAGTTTTTGCTTCTGCGCATTATAATTTTATACGCGATGTCAATTTTTAAATTTACGCACATTATTTTTTCGATCTGTGACCGCAATACATTTGGTGGCAAATCAAAAAAACATTTCCCGCCAAATGTATTGTGGTCACGGATTAAAAAAATCATGTGCGTTAATCAAAAACTTGACATAGCGTGTAAAATTATAATGCCCAAAAGTCTAGTAAGTAGTAAGTAAGTAAATGGATTTTGTCTAAACGTCTTTTCATTTTTGATTTCGGTACGTGATTGTTTCTTATTCTGTTTAGTTTTCGCTTAAACCCATTATAATTTTACAAGCGATGTGAATTTTTTTAATTTATACGCATTATTTTTTCAATCTGTGACCGCAATACAATACGCAATACTATACGCAAATCAGAAAAACATTTCCCGCCAAATGTACCGTGGTCACTGATTGAAAAATAATGTGCGTAAATCGAAAAATTTACATAGCGTGTAAAATTATAATGCCCAAAAGTCTAGTTTTATTAAGTTTGATTTAATAGAATACTAGTATGTTGAAAAATATCTAGTCAAATATTATGCACTGTCATCATGGCAAAGATGAAAGAAATTAAAACTGTTATGATTAGAAATGTGTTGAAAAAATCTTCTCTCCGTTAAACAGAAATTGGGGAAAAAGATATACAGGGGTTGGCTGATAATTCTGACTTCAACTGTGTCTCTGATTCACAATAAATGTAGACATCGGCCTCTAGTGTATTTGTTATCAGAAACGTGCAATGACATGTACACGGAGCAATGTATTCTTCTAAATGCGGAGGCACGTATCTCCAGCTAGATGTTTGTTCTTGTCCGTGTCTCAGGGTGACCCGTGAGTGTTCTGGCATCAGCAGATCTGTGATGAACTTTACCGTCTGAATCTGAGAGTCTTTCTCCGCTTACACTTTTACTGCTGAGCTTGCACAATGCCGCTCTTTTGCTTTTCGCTCTCGTCACTTGTTCACTGAGCAACCCGAGCCTGTGTGGTTTGGTGTGGAAAGACATCTTCTGACTTCAGTTCAGTTTGATAAGCTCATCTCTCAATGTCAGATTAATGGAATTAGCTTTGGTTTGTCCGCTGTGGGTGAAAAGAAGGACAAATCTCGCAAGTATGACTTTGCTTCGTGGCAGCTTCCATTTGAAAGTTTGGGATGGGAAAGATTTTTTATTTCTGTTTTACCAACGCTGTGCTCATTTGATCAAATGATCAACATATATGAGTACACCCCCACAAATCTCTCTTTCAAATGATTATTTTCTATAGGAAGCTTTACAATATTTGTGCATATACATTAGATTAGTCAGTATTAAAGGCAATCTGGAGCTAATCTAACAAAATAATGTATGATGACAGTCCAAAAATAGTACACCCAAATTTTTGTTAGAGAAAAATATTAAAGTAAAATATTTAAAAACAGCAAAATTCAAGAGAAACAAAACAAATGTATAAACTTTAAAATCTTTTTTTTTCTGATATTTTGCATGATTTTAAATGTATTATCTTTTTTTTTTTAAAGATAATAAAATATATTTCTAAAGTTTGGTAACTGAAATATTATTTGAATAAATATATTAGTTTAATAAGTCTGTTCTGTTCAAATACACCAAAATATATGAACTATATTCACTGAGAAATGGATTAAAATATTCATTTTTAAAATGGGGTGAACATATTATATAATATGTTATTATATTATGTTTTTCCTACAGTTAAGATGCATAAAGCACAGTTTGTTTCATATCTTTATTCTATTGTATTTATTTCTCTTTCCTTTGCAGGGTGGAAAAAACTGTACATATACAGTTGAAGCCAGAATTATTAGCCCTCTTGAATATTAGCCCCAATTTCTGTTTAATGGGAAGAAGATTTCTGAACATAATAGTTTTAATAACTCATTTCTAATAGCTGATTTATTTGATCTTTGTCATAATGACAGCATAATATTTGACTAGATATCTTTCAAAATAAATGCATTCAGATGTAAAGTGCGATTTAAAGGCTTAACTAGTGTAATTAGGCAGGTCATTGTAGAACAGTAGTTTCTTCTGCAGACAATCAAAAAATATGTTGCTTGAGGGGGCTAATATAGACTTTAAAATGGGTTTCAAAATATTTAAACCTGCTTTTATTCCAGCCAAAATAAAAATAGAAAAAGCCTTTCTCCAGAAGAAAAAATATTAGAGGAAATACTGTTAAAATTCCTTGCTCTGTTAAGCATAATTTGGGAAATATTTATTTGTAAAAAAATTCTCAGGAGCGCTAATAATTTTGACTTTAACAGTAATCGTTTTGAATAATCGTGATTACAATTATGACCAAAATAATCGTGATTATGATTTTTCCCAAAATCGAGCAGCCCTAATATATATATACATATATACATATTTACATATGTACATATATATATATAAATTATTAGACCCCTTGTTTATTTTTCCCCCAATTTCTTTTTAACGAAGGGAAGGTTTCTTCAATACACTTCTAATCATAATAGTTTTAATAACTCATTTCTAATAACTGATTTATTTAATCTTTGCCATGATGACAGTAAATAATATTTGACTACATATTTTTCAAGACACTTCTATACAGCTTAAAGTGACATTTAAAGGCTTAACTGGGTTAATTAGGTTAACTAGGCAGGTTAGGGTAATTAGGCAAGTTATTGTATAATGATGGTTCGTTCTGTAGACTATCGGGAAAAAATTTAGCTTAAAGGGGTTAATAATTTTGACCTTAAAATGGTGTTTTAAAAATTAAAAACGGCTTTTATTCTAGCCGAAATAAAACAAATAAGACTTTCACCAGAAGAAAAAATATTATCAGACTTGCTGTGAAAATTTCCTTGCTCTGGTAAACATCATTTTGAAAAAGTTTTATATATATATATATATATAACTTTTTTTTTACTCTATATCATAAGTATATTAATAATATTATCAATATTAAATCACTGATAGTCACACAGAGGCAAAATCT